GTAAGAGAGAGGTTGACAGTCAGTTTCTGAGGGCAACCAGTACAAAGCAGTCCTGAGCAGGACTGAAATAACTGATCAGTTTTCCATGGTGCCTTGTGAGCCTTTCCAAGGCCGAGGCTTCTCTTCTGCAAATGGTTGGTGGACTCAGAGTAAGTAAACCTCTGTGCTGAGGCCTGTAGTGGCGGGTGAAGCCAGGTAGCCTCAAAGGATAAGACAAGGTCACAGCCAAGGACACCTGGATCCACCCTCAACTAGATAAAGACTGTAGCACACCTCTCACTCCTGGATGGACTACCTTAATGCCTTTCTTGGAGAAGTCCCTGTATGGGTCTGCCATTCTTGAGTATTCCCCACCCTTCTTCTGATAACTAAATAAACAAGGGAGGCCCACAGAATCTCTTGTCTTAATTCTGAGAAAATCTCAAATTCTTTGAGGGGGTTTCATCCTCCTGGAGCCCTGAAATCATACCATTTGCCCCTTTTTATTTAGTCTTTTCCATACACTGTTTTGGGGTTTGAAGACCTGATTAGTCTGCAGTAAGTTGGGCTATTGTGAATGGGATTACTGGCACCTGAACAGGGACCTGTGTAAGTCTCCCTGGAGTGCAAAGTGTGTGAGATGGAGAAGAACTTCTCAAGAACAAAGCTGGAGATGCTGGAGAAAGAGGAAGACAAGCATTCCACGGGAGCAGAGGTGATTCTTACTGCTGTCAGCGGCCATTTTTATCTGAGAGTAAAACGGGCCCAAAACTTTTGACTATGGAGCAAAGAAACACAGAGCTGCTACAGGCTTTGCTTAAACACTCAGGGGCTCATTTGCCAAAAGAGACCTAACAAAAATGTTATAAGAGGTAATGACATATGTAAAGAATTGAAAAATATCTTTAAACATCCCAGAGTACAGGAAAAATCATTTTCCCTGGACATTTTCTACTCGGAACCTGGTTCTTTCAGGACTGAGTCCATTGCAGAGCTCCCAGTCAAAACCTCCTAAGGCAGGCCTCCCAGGCACCTCCCTCTCCCGCTGGTCTCCATGCCCGCAGTCCATGATGTTAGCTGGAATTCAAAATATGGCATTGATCTTACTTAAAGAAAGATTTTAGTAAAAGAAAAAAATCAAAACCAAACCAAACAAAAGCAGAACAAAAACCCTCTAACTCAGACACAGAGGGGAGGAAAGAGCTCCCAGGACCTTAGGCAGAAATGGAAGCCTTGTGCAAGAACATCCCAGGCAGCTCTGTCCAGAAATTAACAGTTTTTAAAGGAACAGCAACTGCAAAAGGAGACATCCCTGGCACTCCCTCTTGCTTCCCAGTTGGAACTCAGCTAAATAATCGTAATGAGTTTATATCTCTTTTTCTTTCTCACATTGACTTCATTGAAAATCAGTAATAATTATATAGCAAATTAAAAATTGTAGACAAGAATTGAAATGTGAAAGATATAAGATGCAGACAGTGAATTATAGAAAAATGCACTATATTTTTGAAATGAATACATGAGATTAAAAATAGATTACACATTGTAAAAAATTATTTACAAGTGTAGATGAATATGACAATAAAAATTATCTAAAATAAAAATGAATAAGAAAGAATTTACAGATCAGCCATATAATAGTTCACTCTGTACCAAGATCAAGAAACATATTCATATAATTAGAATTCTCAAAGTAGAAGGAGGTAGGCAACAGAAATTTAAAGATTCAAAATTTCTGAATTTAGTTAAAAGTATAGCACCACATTTCCAAGAAAAATGAGCCTTTTGCAGAAGAAATATGGATAAAATTATACCGAAATATACAAAAATAAAATTGTCAAAAACTAATTGTAACGAAAAAAAAAATCATTAAACCATATACAAAGAAAAAAATTAGCTATGGAAGAACAAAATTAAATAGCATCTTATTCCACATTAGAAAAAAAAAAGAGCAAGTGAGTAAGAAACAAACTTATTAATTTATT